ACATTTTTATCATTTAATAAGAAAGAAAATTGGAAAAATGAGAAAATTCTTCCCAGTCCCCAATAAAACCACATTCCATCTTTTACAAAGAATGTAATAAACGTAATTTATTCAAACGGACTCTAATATGCATAATCAGGCTACTACAGGTTCAACCTAGAAACTAAAATGAATATCATACATCTCTGAATATTAAAATAATGATTTAGACACAAATGATACCAAAAGAAGTCGTATTACTTTGTTGGTGTGGTGCAATCAGTGTGGCATGCCACAATAGGCCCCAGGGGAGAGCCCCTTCAGCTGCGCATACTCCCCCAGAGCAGCGGCCCCGCTCACCCCAAATACACCTGGAGGCATTGGGTAAATCTTTAAAAATATTTTAAAAGAGATGTTAGATAATTTTACATTACACTTGCCTTGAGGATATTAATAAGATATGAAGCACCTGTTATGATGTCACCTTCATCGATTAACTGTTCTGCATATGATTCACAAGCAAACTGCCATAATCTGTCAAAAAATAACAAGTGTTATATGGGGCTAAATCATTTGTGTTCCCACAATATACTAAATTATATGCAATATGCTGACATGGAAGACAAAAATGGTGAATTTACTATTTAGCAGATAATCATAACTAAAGACTGAATGAGACCATAAGATCCCTTTGGAATTATATACACATCTGCAACAAAGTATATTGTGGATTTTTCTATCAATAAACACTTACTTCATGGAGACCTGTGGTGCAGATGCCACCAGAAACTCGCTGAGTTTCCTCTGTTTGGCAGCCTGGCGTATGTGATCTGCCAAGGAGCCTTGCCAACAGTGGATCAGTCCAGCTTGGGTTGCATTCTCCTTCTTCTCATGGGCATCAACTGAATGTCAAAATAAATAAGATATTACAATCACATTCCAATCTTATTGATGCTAACTATTAATATTGCTACTAAATACATATGTATACATCCAAAGCACTTACTTTCAGCTGCTAGGAGTGTATCAATCTGTTCAGGATTTCCATACAGACTTAGGGCATATTCTATGTCTTCTGGTTCAGGCATCTCAGTATCTTTCTCCAGCAAGCAAGAATACTTTTCACACAAGGATCTGATGCCTGGCAAACTCACTTGCTTTTCCAACTCTTCTGAACTGGAAAAATACACTGAATTTGGTCATTTCATGCTTCACGTTCCTATTGATACTGAGATTTTATAAAAAGTCACTTATTTCATATGTTATTATTTATCAACTTTAGTTAGATCACCATTAAAGATATATATAAATAATAATCAATTCTTCAAATCAATAAAAATACAGATGGAAAGAAATTTTTCAAAAAGATATTTTTGAAAGTCAAAATTTACTTCTTCTCTTCCTCCAGTTCCTCTTCCAAATCCTCCAGATCTTCCACTTGCTCCTCTTCAAGATGCCCATTCCCAGTTCCAGCAGTTTTGGTCTGATTCAGCAAGTTTAATAAGAGTAAGTGGTGGAAACTCTTCTTCTTCGAGCAGACAGTATGGAACTTTGGGAAGAATGACTTAAAATGTCCTTTTTTACTTGCTGCTGCACTGATACTTGAGGATTTTGTCCCACTTGTGACACTGCCTCCCCCATTCTTCTCTGCAAATTTTAGATTTCAAAATATGAGAATTACAGAAACTCATGATTTAAGTCTCAAATGCAACATTTACTGGACTGGCTATATATCAATACTGTGCTTTATTTAACCCTTACAATCTAGATGATGACCATCAAGTCATGAAAAAATTTAGCTTGAGAGGCAGGGACATAAACATGCTTTCCTGGAAAAATTTTGACTGGCCAGGGTGATGGAAACATGCCTAATGAGAATTTTTGTGAAGGCTAGGGTGAAGAGAATGACTTGACATGTCTACATAAAGCTATTGGAGGGTGATCAGATTCAGTAGGCATTTAGGAAGGGGCAGTAGAATTATTTCTAACAATAAACAAGTGTGGAATATACCATCTTTGAGCCGTGACTGGAAGAGTACCAGCTCCAGGGAGGTCACTATTTCCCTGCTCAGGATCCTATTCCTGCCCACTGTGACTGGCATCTCAGGTTGTATTACGGAAAATTAAATATTGAAACAAAAAACTAAACAAATAACAAAATATTTTGTCATCATTAGTTATAAACTACCTAAATAGATAATATGGAGTCAGTGCAAGGAAAACAATCTATAATCATCTGGATACAGCATATCAAATGACAAATATATACTGGAAAATGGCAAAAAAATAAAACCATGCAGAAATTATGCAGAAAAAAGAGATAACATTCCAAAGGGGAGACATGGAGTCTTGACACTCTGTGGCCTATAAACCACACACCCATTTGAGTGGCTACTCAAGTAAGCCTAATGCCCAGATTTTGAGCCACAAGCTGGCAGAGAAGCACCCAGGTCCAAGGGGTTTGTCATAAATTTTTAAAATGAGTAATCATTTTGGGGTATCATGGGGTATACTCCTTTTTCTAATCTCTATCTCCCTTAATTAAAAGGATATATGAGTAGTATTTTGGTGATTTCTGGATTGTGAATTTACTTATTAAATAATCTAGCAGTTCAGCAGTTAAAAATGAAGGACATGAATTTAGATGTGGCACAGAAATCAAAGCTAACTAAGAAATTTGATTATAGTCTCACAGTAACACATTTGTGAAACTGAAGTTGTACAGCAAAATGTTTCTGATATCTGTATATTATAGGCCAAATTGCAAAGTTTTACTTTAAATATAATGATGACAACTCTAAACATGGATCAGGAAGTAGAACAGAAATTAAAGTAGTGGATGATAAAAACTCAGAAGAAGCTATATATAAAATATACATGAAAGAAAGATCTATCAGTGTTAACTTACTATGTCTCAAGTTGCAATCTGCTTGGGAAAATTGGAAAACACACGTGACTGAATATTGCACAATGTGATTAATAGGTCTATATTGCACAGCATTGTATACAGGTTTTCAAAGATCAAAAACAAAACAGCAGTCTTGTGCAAATTCAATCATTAGTCATACCTATCTCACCTGTTTACCCTTTTCCTTGATTTTCAGAAATTCATTTTTATTATTCTATTATCTTTTACTGTTTAGTGTATCTCAATAACATTATAATAATCATACTATCAAAAATAGTGAAAGTATCAACATTAACAACTAGGAAAAAATATATTCTCCTACAAATTCAAGGAGTAGGAAAATTAGGCACTGTTACTAAGGCCTACTAACTGACTCCCTGGCAGCTGAGCACTTGTGGATCCATCTGTGTGCAACAACATTCACTAAATACTACATTGGACAGTACTAAATCCATAGGCAATGAGTTAACAGACATCACTTTCCTCTTAGTTTAATCAAACTTTTCCTTTATCACTTTCTTGTTACTTACTCTCTGCAGACAGTGATGATTCAACAGCTTTGCTCTGAGCCTCTTCTTCTGCCTCGGTCTCCTTGTCCTTTGGTTTCTTGGTTCGGATATCCCTCAAATTTGCTGTGAAAAATGCAACAATAGTTAAAGAAGCACGTCTACACAATAAACCACAATTTATACCAAACCTGTGTAAAGATAACTACATGTACTATAGAGCAAATAACTAAATACCCACTACTTCTCTCTGCTGGAGTCTTCGCTGTTTGTTCTGATGGATGCCACACATGCACACTATTTTCATCAGCAAAACTGTACATTAGATCAGGATCAGAAGGGCTGAATTCCACTCTGAAGACACGGTTGAGATGGCCACCATAGTTCACTTTGGGCTCCCCTAATGGAACAAGAATTTATATATATGTTGTATACATTTATTTCTTTTTAATGAAATTATATACATTGGTGACAGGTCAATAATATATAAATAAATAAAAAATCATTAAACATAAAATTACTCTCCTACAAGCATATATAATCAGACACAAGATTTCAATTGATAAAAGCACAATAAAGTTCTCTGGCTTATTGTCCCAAATACAATATTAAATACTAAGAGTCTAAAAATAGTAGCACACCTTACACCATATAATGTATGTTGCAGTTAAATACCAGTATGCCACAAATGTCAGATTAAAGAACAAAACTTTGAGAAGCCTAATTTAATCATCAGTCACATGATTACCAACAAGTATCAAATCCATGACATTTTGAGAAACAACTTATTGAACTAACAATATGTAGTAGAAAAAAGCTGAAATCAAACGAAACAGTCAACTAGAACAGATGAAGTCAGCACCTGTTTTGGTATCCCACAACTGAACAGTGTGATCATATGATGCAGAAGCAAGAATTCCTTCTTCATGAGGAGACCAAGCTAACCATACAACACGAGATTCATGTCCCTGAAGGTCACGTGTAGCCTGGGTAACAACACTGCCGATTTTGTCGTCTGTAAATAAGTGAGATTTTTTTTGCTATATGTATATGCAGTATGAAAAGAAATGAGAGGATGTGAGATTCTCAATAATTAATGAAATGAAGAAACAAAATGGAAAATTGATACTGAGGATCTACAAAGAGGATACATGCTATCTATTATTTGAAAAAAATGGGTTCATCAAGGTTTCTATTCATATAACTTAACCCAGGAAAACTACAAACCATCAAAGCTTGTCCATTTCAGCTACTAGAATAAATTTTTGTTACTAGCATTTGAAGACCTTGATTTTATACACTAGAAAATATACAATTCATTGTCATTTATCATACAGGGTTGTTAAGATTGTTACTACAAGAATAAATAAGGGAATAAATTACTATAAACACATAAATAAAGCTACAAAATCATATTCTCACCCTATAAAACACTAAAATATGTATTCAGATTCCATCTACAAGTAACTAGATTCTACAGAGTAAAACCACCATGATACATAATAGCATGTTGTGTGTGTGTAAGGATATGGGAGACAATAAGATGGGTACTTTGGCCAGATGAAATCAGCCATACAGTACCAATTACTAATTCATACTGGACACTATGTGCATCTCAGTGAGAAAAAGTTTTAGCAAAAACCTTGACAGTCTTTGCCAGACCTTGCACATTTGTAGTAAATTGTACCAGCAGCTCATTATGTAAAGAGTCACAATCATGATCAAAAAGGACTAATTGTCTAATGAAAACAGATATATAATATAATAGCAAAAAATATAACTACTGCCATCCGTTTCGTAATTTGAACAATCATAAATTATGGTCACAAAAGAGTTTGCAAACATACATAACAATCATCTCACCCTGTAGATATTTCTCCATATCAAATATATATATCTCCTTTTCGCTAGATGCCACAGCTAGGATATCAGAGTAATGGCTTTGCATTGGTGGATGCCACAGCAAGTGCTGGATAGTCTTCCTCACCACAGCAAGAGTCACCACCAAAGTTAAGTCAGCCCTTTGATACACTCGCACCTGCCTGTGAATTGGAAAAATTAATTTTCATAATTGCTTATACCCAGTAATTTTCTTCTTTCTTACTGTTTAACATTACATCATGCCCGATTACTCATTACTAAATACAAAATGTAATATCAAGCTTCAAGTCATATTCTTTAAGGTCATTTTATCATCAATAACAATCACAATTATATCATACCCATCCTGAGAACCAAGTGCAAGGTACTTGTAGTCAGGACTGAAGGAAAATTCTGTCACATCTTTTGGCAAGGCATTTACCTCTGACTCTGCCACAAGTTTTTGAAGGCAAACAGGATCTGAAAAATAGTTGATTATAAACAAATAAACAAACAACCACTATTTGCATACATCAATCCACTCCCTGTATTCAATTATCCACAATCGAATAACTTTGTATTTTGAGATACAACCAAAAATCAAAGAACGAGGTTTTACCTGCCATGGGGTCTGATGAGGATCGCATCACAATCTCTCTGTCACCAAACGAGTATGCATACCAATCCTCAGATGATCCTAAATACAAAATGACAAATGATTAACAATTTCCATACAGTCATCAAATACAAAAATCCTATTTAGGTGATACACCTCTCAAGAGTATTGTTTTGTATTAAAAAAATAATAATAATACAATTAATATTTCCTTCATTGTAATAATTTGCAAGTGCACTATTACAAAAATGATTTATGCTCAATTCTTTCGTGATCAAAACACCAAATATTTAGTCCACCTCTGACACTAACCTGTTTTCTCAGGACAAACTGGTAGGCCCCATTCAACCTTATACACTGACTTCTGATGGTGATAAGCAAAGGTGGTTACTCGCCCTGATGCTACATCAGTCCAACCCACCTGCCCTGTCGCAGTGCCAAACAGGAGCCGACCTTCATGCACTGGGTGCCAGGAGAACTGAAAGGAGAATTAAAGTGCCGAGGAAATGTATACTATGAATTTTTATCTAACACTGGCATTCACTTTTCAATATATCAATTAAGAACAAAACTTCTTTTGTGAACCAATAAATCTAATAGGCAAAGTGGAAGGCAGCATTCAACTGCATCAGGTACATAATCAAATACAATGTAATTTAGTCCTCTTTTATTTATTTATTTTTTTACTGAATTAACACAACTTACTGACAGAACTTTTCCATTAATGTTATGGAAAATCGTCTGAGTCTGCAGTGGTATTGGACTCCCAAAGTTCAGCAGTCTAATGTTATTATCCAAACTCCCAATTGCCAATCTGCAGATAAAAATCATAATTTCACGTATAAATAGATATACAATCTTTACTTCTCCACAAAAATTATTTAAGTATACAGTACAAGGAACACTGCTTTAAATACTATATCAAACTGAGACCAACCCTAAAAGAGACATTAAAGTTTACTTAGGCTTAGTTACTAGACAAACCTGTTCACATCTTGTGGGCAGAATGAGAGAGTGGTAGCAGAGGCACCCAGAGTAGGGACTTGGAACATGTGGCTTGACTTCTTCAAATGAAATCCTTGCAGAAATCGGTCCTGTCCACTTGTCACAGCTATGTCACCAACAAGCACAAGGTTGTATATTGCCCGGTTGTGAAGATGATGTAGTGACTGTTAGAAATTAATATACAGAATTTTAATTATTTTATACGCATGACAGACATCTAGTATTATGTCTCCTAACAATACTCTTCAAACCAGAGTATTTTCATCCCCCTCCCCCAAAAAAGGAATATGTTTTACACTTTCACAACTTAGATAAACCTAGGCCAAAATTTTGATGCTGTCTACAAATAATACAATTACTAATACTACATATATTCATAAACATTTAATTTTCTTTCAAAAGCATGTCCTATAATGTTCATATTGCTACTAACCAGTATCAATGTAATGACAACAATAACAATCTGTGCAAAAAAACACACTGACCTTGAACTTTGCTCCACCTGGCCACAGTGACCAGCTGAGCAGCTCTCCTCTGATTGTGGATGAGTAGAGGTTCCCATCATACCATCCTAATGAGATGTGCTGCTTCCCATGGACTTTGTCTTTGCTCTAATAATAAAAAAAGGTATTAGGAAAAGGGTCTTTCAATTTCTATTTCTGCCTACATTCTCATCTTCCTATCCTTTTCTCTCTTCTAAAATACACTATAATCCAATTCAACATTCAAATGAAGTTACAATTTGCAAAGTGAGATTAGACAGCAGTCCAACAATAATAACTAATATTTCCTTTTTTAATACAATATAATACAAACAAAATAATAAAGCTCTAACACCTTTTATACATGACAACCCAGAATACAATACTTTAACCAACCTGTTTTTTAAAGCCTGATGCTGAATGAGGTACATTAGCTCTGACTATATAGCGTTTGGCTGACACGTCCCATAAAAGAATATTGCGACCATAATCAGATGATGCAAAGAATGGACCCGTTTCATTTGAAGACACTGTGTTCTCTCTCCAGTTCTTTGATCCTGAACCTGTGGACACAGCATCATTTCTTTTTCTATTAATATGGATAGCAATATTATATCATCGTGATACAGCATATACATATATACAAAACATATACATATATCTATATTTCTTTACAAATTGCACTATGGACTCTACCCCTGTCTGGACTATCTTCTGAAGAAACTTTCTCTTTTGTCCTGCTATCACACAAGGCTTCAGCTCTGCTGTTATTTTCTGCGAGGTCTGGTTCTAAGGGGCTCCCACTGCCTAGGTACCATTTCACACAGTAGATTTCATATTCATGACCCTTCAGTTGTGTCAGTATCTTACCATCTTAAAGGGTAAAGAAAAAGACAATATCTATGAAAAACAGGTTTTGTTTCTCTTAACTGATTTTTAAAAATACAAAAGTCAGAGTTTATAATTCCTTAGTATTTTCAATTAGATAAAGGTTATTTCTAATTGATTCTAAATAAAATAAAAACCCTATAAACAAATAAATCTTAAGGAAATCGAGTAGTCACACCCTGAAAATCATACAAATATCTTAAACATATAAATGAATAAGGTAGCCAGATATCAGATGATGCATAACCTTGACCTACTAATAGGTCACTACTTTACGGGCTCAAATTTCCACACATTAGATTAGTATGCAGGCAGTTACCCACATTTCCAACTGGTACACCACTAGTTTGGAGGTGACAATTTTTATCTGGCAATACTTGAGTAGTACATAGTGCTATTCCATGAGTGGAGAAGGTCAGTGACTGAGTGATTGAAATAATCTTATAAATATCTACAACAGGAAAGAAACATGCTTGAGGAAATGATGACAAAATGTCATAACTTTTCAAATGTCAAAAGGCAAGAACAAATATTTACTTTTATCCACAATAAATGCCTCTGAAAAAACATTTTTGAAATGATTTTTTTAACTGTGCCTATGCAATGCTTGTCACCTACAGTGTAGTGAGTGAAATAGTAAAGGTATTGTCATTTTGAGTAAGCAGAAATATGATGTGTAGAAATTTCCATTGGCAGAACTGCCTACTGAAATCATCTATCTAACTCTTTATATTTTCTCTTTTGAAGAAAGTAAATATCATTCCTAATACCTTTCAAATGATATTTAAAATCAACTAAACCCAATGTTTTACACTAACCAGCTTTGATCAATATGGAGATTAGACCACAAACAGTATTTGTCTTATCATCCCATATATACACATTAAGAGGAAATCAGTGATAAAATTGGCAATAAGATTTGTCCAATTTATCTTCAGGATATGGAAAGTAATAGATGCATGAGATTTGATGTTTTCAACTGAGGATAAGCTTAAGAAACAGTACTTAACATTATCTTTGATGACTTAATTTTCTCTGCAAAGCTTAAAATAATTTTAAGAATATCAATCCATATGACTTGACCCATTGGATATGGTTGCATCATGGATATCACAGTTCCGAAAACATGGGTAGTGGGTTACGTAAGTAGCCAACATCCCAGGTGTAAGGCACATAGGATAGGCACGCACAAATACCCATGAGTGATGACAAGACTCTGTGCCTCCCCTTTACAAAGTTATTTTGTGTAAACTTTTTTAGTTTTATCGCCATTTTCCAATGTCCATATTTTACTTTATTTGCTTTATCCAGATGATAATAGCTTATTTTCCTTCCACAGACTCCATAGCATCTCTATATGTAATAAAAAACTCGGTGCCACGAAAAAAAATAAAAATTGAACATTTGGTTATTTGTGACATATATATCATTTTTTCATAATTTTCAATTTTACGTAATACAATCTGTGCTGCCGGTCACAGCAGCCAGGGATACAATGTGCAGTATGGAAATGGTGTCCTCCCTGGAGACAGCACTCTTCCAGTCACTGCTTACACACATTACATTCCACATTCGTTTATCGATGTGAATAATGCTAAAGCCCTCCTCTAAGAGGCAAATGAGTCAAATCACACTCCAAGAGGTTTGTGCACTCATAGTGAGTCTTTTCTGTCACCCTGGCCTTTGCTCATGACAGCAAGTTGGAGTCACTAGGCAAGCAGCCATTTTGCCTGATGACTGCATGTTCACATCACCTGGCCTTGAACCCAGATTTTTCCATGACAGGACAATAATATCATCCAGATTGTAGGGTTTAAGAGGGCATTCCATATCTCTTACATGCCATCAGTATAAACAACCCACTAAGCAATTGGATAATTTATCAATCAAAAATTCCCTGAGAAAACCACACAGACAATTACAAGGTGAGAAAATCTTACAATTTACATTTACAGACAAAATTATATTGGGTTTACATTTTAACTTCTCAAAATAATATGTTTTATATCTACATATCTATAGGAAACTCTTATTTAGCTCTTAATGAATGCATTTTTTGTCAAAAACTGATTTGAGATTAATCCTTATCATCAATGTTTAGCTATCATGATTATGCTGAAGTTGACGATTACACCCGAGTTCCAATTACTCTTTTTTTAAAGGAAAATACCACATATTTCATGCAATGATGTTGACACTTGGCAAACTTATTAAAATAATTTATAGCTGTCATTGAAAATATTTGCAAAATATTGTGAGCTAATCACAGGCTTCATTACAAGTGCATTCCATTCACAGAATACTGGATACTACACATATTCCAATGCAGTCCACACACCATACGGGTGTACTAGTTGGAACTGTGGGGAACTGTAACTTAGTCTACTCAGACAGTAAGCACAAATGAAAATAAAATATGGCTAAACATCTTAAATTTCTCTATTTATAAAACTAAAAAAACTCAAAGCAGTCTAGCTTATCTCAAAAGCATTTTCATGACGGAAATATTTTAAATGTTAAAACTAAGTACTACATGAACTGCAGCAAGCAAAATGATCTGCATATATTCACATGTAACTAGTACATCTTCATTGCCTGACTTAAACCAATCAAATACCTTTCAGAGAGACCAATAGAACAGTTTTCAGCACTGCCACAAGAGCCTGGGAAGGGTCCTTTGGGTTGACTTCCACCAAAGATAACTCATTCATGTATGGAAAAGAATGAATTCGAGTGACACTATCTCTGGCTTGCCATACAACCATCCTCCCTCCAGATCCAACAGTTACAACAACTTCTTCTCCTCCTACACTGCCCCAGGCAATGCCATTCACAGGTTTCTGAAAGTCAAATTTTAAAATAAATGCTTAGGAAATCTATATTTCATGTAGAAGCCACTGCAGTCAATGTACATTACTGTCACATATAAATAAAAGTGCAGTATACCTATATCATCTTTTTACCACCATCTATGATCTTGAGTACAATTTTGTTTTTTGTTTTTGTTGGGGAGAAAGGATTCTTTATCTGAGATGCAATATAAGCAAATGAAGTGTAAGTACAATCATTTCTTGACTTTGCTGACTTTACAGTAAATATATAAATACTATTCTTTTGTCAAAAACTTAATTTTGTCTGTATGTTTACTGTCTTAATTTGTTTCAAATGCTGTCAAGTTGAATTCATGAGTCAAAATATCTTTGTGCACATGAATGCAACACATCATTCACTGGTTGCATCCCTGGTTGTAGAAGATTATATACAAACTGTTGGGAAAGAAAAGTATATTTTATGACACAGCTATTGTACATTAACAGATCATATAGTAAGGGAAGCCTGTACTGAAAGTACCACAAACTTCAAAGGTAATTATGAAATCGTCAATTAATCCCCTTTGTGATGTTTAAGAATTTAACTATTTTCCAACCAACAAACATATTCAATCTTTCAAACTGTTAGTTTAACCCCTACAAATTGCAAAGCCTCCTGCTTGTCTCTCCCCCTAGCCACGCAAATTGCTTGTCAGATTTTACTAAGGTAAACATTCCAATACCATAAATCAAATAAATGGAATGTCAATAGATCTAAGGAAGATGATGAGGACATACACAGCAACCAAAACACACACAAAATGACATACAAATTTTTAAATAATTATATACATATTTCTATCACTTAAAAATAATAAAATGTATATTTTTATGTATTTAATGCATCTCTATGTATAAACTGCAAAAGACAATAACATATCAGGTGACACTGATATATAATAGTATGGCATATTGAGGGGAATGATGCATTACAGTAAAAGAATTACTACTTCACACTCAAAATACTCCAATCACAAGAAGAGGTGGAAAACACAGCTGTAAGACTAGCTTCAAGAGAGAAGAGTCTACATAGGGAATGACGGTGATACTATGTGCATGGCTTGAGGAAAGTTGCTAAATAGTACCATACATATTAGTGAACACCAACAGCATCTCACTAATATTGTAAAAAAAAAAAAAAAAAGTACATTAGTTTGCATCACATTTTGTACAATTAAGGCAAATAGGTCTGACAACACAAACCATGACTATGACAAATAGGATTTAAGAGTTTAAAACATCTTACCTCATGTTCTTTATGCTGAGAAATTACTTCCCCACTGTGCATGTTATACAGTGTGACAGTGTAAGTATCACCAACAACAGCTAAAGTGTGTCCATACTTTGCCTCCAATGGATTGGGATGCAATTTTACTAACAACACCT